TTCTGATCAGTTCATCTTTTGTCAGTTTTTAGGATCCTAAGTTGAGTTTCTCATTACAATCAATGTTTATGCCGATAACAAAAAAAAGCAAATAAATACCTAAAAAATGGAGGGAGTTTGTCAGCCTCAGAGGCTGACTAATCTGCAAAACACTGCATCTACAAATTGTGGAAAAATGTTCCAGCAGCTAGAATCCTGTCAGACAAAAGCGGGACAACTTCCCTCTCCCAGAGGTTCCCCAGCTGGTCTCCTCAGTTCCCAGATGTTTGCAGACTGTTGTTAAAAGAAGCGGGAATGCCACACAGTGGTAAACTTGATCCTGATCTTTTCTGACATGCTTTGCTGTCATCAAATTCAACATGAGCTAATATTTTTCTTAAAATATAAAAATTTCCCAGTTTAAACATCTGATATATTTCCTGTGTTCTATTGTGAATAAAATATGCATTTATGAGATTTTCTAATCAGTGGATTCTGTTTTTATTTACCTTTTTTTGCAGCATCGCAACTTCTTTTTTTTTTGACAATTTTTATTTGTTTAGGAACATTTTTATGCAACAAGATAAAATAAAAAAAGAAAAAGAAAAAACAGAAACAATATGAGGTCACGGGAAGATAACATACGCCCGTACATACATCTGCACATCCACATATACATACGTCAGCAAGTCTGCATTACTAATTCTATGCATTAAAGGGTGCTGCCACAAGCTGTAAAGTCCAGCCATTTTAGCATCGCAACTTCTATGGAAGTGGGTTTGTGGTAACAAATGGATGCTTCTGTAAATGCTTCTGATATCACAACAAGCTGAGTGATGACATTAAACAAGTGACTCTGCCCTGTGATTTATGGATCGTGGCATTACTGAAGTTATTTGTCTAAATACAGCAGTCTGGCAAGGAGTGACACACTGACATTTATGGAGTGACACACTGACATTTATGGAGTGACACACTGACATTTATGAAGTGTGTGTGAATGATAGCAGAGGCTGCGGCAGATTTCTAAGATATCGTCTTTACTCATGATGCAACCTCACTCCATGGGAATCCAGGCCCTAATGAGCTGTTATAAAGCTGACCTGATGATATCTAACTGTAATGGAAAACACTGTTGGGTTAAATGTCTGTCAATGCTGCATTAATGTTCAAAGCCAGTCATAAAAGCTTCTCCTCTTCCTGTGTTAGGGTGGCACTGTCATCGGCAGCGCTCGCTGCAAGGACTTCAGAAGCAGAGACGGTCGTATGAAGGCCGCCTGCAACCTGGTGAAGCTGGGCATCACCAACCTGTGTGTAATAGGTGGAGATGGCAGTCTGACGGGAGCCAACGCGTTCAGGACCGAGTGGAGCGGGCTGCTGGTTGATCTGGTCCGAGCAGGTAAAGAGACAAACGAGGCTGCGAGAATCATAAATCTGTCAAATCTTTCAGCGTCGTCTTTTTGTGTCTGACTA